CGATGACATTTTCATACCTAAGGCCCTTGTATGGTCACACTTTGTATTATAACTCTTGAGATTAGGTAATTGTCATCTCTGTTTTTCTATTGACTTCAGTATTAGTCAGTGCTTTTATGCAGATGACTTTCCTTTGAGGGCCCGTTCACACCAGTTGCAGTGCGTTCTGAACCGATTCTGGCCGGAACCCACTGCATCACATTGCGGCCGGCTTACTTTTTAGTGGGACAGGAGGGGGAGTGGCGGCCCATTGAAGTGAATGACACCGTAGCCACGACCTCCGGCCGCAATGCGATCGCCCGCACGGGATCGCAAGGCACATTGTGCCTGCAGTCCGTTCCGGTGCGATCAAAATAGTGCTTGCATTGCGCGCCGGAGGGGGTGGCTACGGTGTCATTCACTTCAATGGCCCGCCACGCCCCCCTCCTGCCCCACTAGAAAGTGAGCCGGCCTCAATACGATGCAGTGCGTTCCGGGCAGAATCGGTCCGGAACGCACTGCAACTGGTGTGAACGGGCCCTGAGGCCGTAGTAAGGCTGTGATATATACAGGGTTATTCACAAAAGGGTGAAGAGTTGGAGCAATTAAAGTAATTTCCACATTCCAGTGATACGGTAATGGTTGATAAATTCCTGGACGTGTTTTGCTGAAAATTGCTTCCTCAGGAGGATAAACATAACAGAACAAAACATAACATCAAGATAACCATGTAATACACAACGTCTTCAATATTATCGGCATACATGGACCAGCACAAGAGAAGGCGAGAATGTGAGTACACCCGTGCACCAATTCCCCCCTGGATGACGTGTGCAGCAAATTTCAGTCTGGGAGAGAAAGGGCAAGACAGTAATCATGCTGATAGGAGGAAAGAGCATGATAAGCAATGATAGTTAGGAATCACAGATCTTATCTATTCACTGATCCTATGGGAGGGAGAGGGTGGTGTCTGAACCTCCATATGTATACTACTATAATGGGGCACCAGCATATACAAAAAAAGACAGTATGACCTGACAGTTGTACGTTATTATGGCAAACATAGCGATGTTACTGCATGCAAGATGGAGGAATATTTGTAAGACAATTATTGTACATTGCATTTGTTTTACTTAAGCAGACTGTGCACACCGTTTTTTTTAATGTATAATATATATTGCATATAGGTCCTGTCCATCTTCAACCCAAAGAACTAATAAACATTTTCCCTTGTGTCAATACATGACAGCATACTAGTTCCAGCCATGGTCTATGTATTCAGTGCTATGTGGGTGTCGATTCAAAAACGTATTATATTACTGGTCCTGTGGGTTAGAAAGGGGTGGCTTATACCGTATGTGTACCAACATGCGTAGGTGCCAAGAAAGGTAAATTCTAATAGTATTAAAAAAATATATATAAATAATACATTTTGTTGAACAAATTGTACTCATCTGCCGATAGCAGACTCAATAACATTATTTTACAATCTCACATAATGTGAGAATATCAAATAATTCTGCTAATTGCAACTTTTGTCCCTGTTTTCTTTACTCAAGTGCTTAGAGATCAGATTCCAGTCTAGTGAGCTCCCCCTTGTGGGTAAAACTAGAACTGCTCCAGCATAAAAGATATCCCCTAAACAGGTCTAATATGGACTGTAGTATTAAAATAAAAAGCTAACTGTTAAGCAATCTAATGAACTCAAATTTTCCAGAGCAGCTGATTTATGAAAAATGAAATAAATACATCGAGAGCAAAAGAAGATCTCTTGCTTATATCATGCACTGATTTACTTGTATTGCATTACTCTAGTTACTATGGGAAACAACTCCATTCCATTTCACTTTGCTCCAGTTTGAAGGTTTTTGGACATGACTGCACTTCTTTGACAGTTCATTAGTGCAATAGTAAATTGTCCTTTCAAAACACTGAAAAATAATGAGTTATTATTATACAGGATTTATATTGCAACAACAATTTGCTCAGCACTTTACAATATAATCAATCCATGTAATACCAGCATGAGAAAAATGCCTTATATAGTTTTTACATAAAAAGAAATCCCAGATCCACTGTTATCCACCATACCACCTTTTTCTTCAGCTTGCCTGCCCCAAGCACGGTCCATTAGCCTCATGTGTCAACTAATTGACATCTGGGAAGAGCTGGCTAATTTATAAAGTCTGTAGCAGGTGCTTAAAGAGTATTGGAAAGTTAGTTGGGCCTTGGAATGTAATCAGGTAAGTGGAGGAAGGTTTTGGAAAATAGGTCCTGGTGTTCTTTAAAATTGATGAATATGTTCCTATTAAAAAGTGCATGGTCTAGCTTTGCTATTATAGGTGTAGTTATGTAATAGGGTTATTTTTATTCACTTAGTGAAAATCTTAGAGCGATTTACTGATTTTTATTTGCCCTTTTTTTCTTTGTACCCCAGGCTTGTCTTCCAAGCTTGTGAAAAAGTAATTAACTATATTTGTGCCCCCCCCTCCCCCCCCCCTGGTGTTCAGTTTTAGAGGACTGTAACTAAAATAAAAGGTGTATTTACTGTGGAATAAATCTAGTATATCAAGCCTCCCTATTTAAAGGGATTACCACTGGCCTTTTAGTGACATGCTTTGTTCACATCATCACCCCCAATGCTGACCACATACACCAACTTTCAAACAGTTTCAGGGCTTGTTCATGCCATTACCAGAACGTTGTGTGGTTTGTTTTTTTTGTCTAAAAAAAAGCATCCCCCATAGATTTATAATGGTTTTTCGGAGTGTAGTTCACACCACTGTGTTCAGTTCCAGAGCTTTAAAAAGTCACTTTTCTTTTTGGTCTGGAATGCGCAAATGCACTGGAAAGCCTATTGAGCGCAAGAAAGTGCTGGAATGCTTAAAAATGCACATAACTGTTTGCAGAAATGCATCCAGATCTTGTCTGCATATGGTGTAAACAAGCCTGCAATCTCAAACTAGATCTCAAGTATGCAACATTTACTATTGAGACTGAAGACCATTTACACTGTGAGTGACTTCTTTAATCCATTTTGTTTTTGTGATCAAAATCTGATTAAAGGTAGTTGCAATTGTCTACACATTGCTGTGTGTATTGGCACTGTTAATCAAACCCCTTTTGTTGCATTATATGATGGCCTATACATGCCAGCTATTTCCATGTAGCGTCCATGTTTTTCTGGGTTACTGTAAAGAAGTTAGGGATATACATGGAATACAATGTATTTTGATAAGCTCCTGAGGCTTTGTTGTTAGTCACAGCGTTTGGCATATGAAGCATCATAATGCAGGCCTTTTTAACATTATTCAACTTCTATTGTGGATAACGTTATTCCATTGGGTTGTGATATATGCTACAGCCGGATGTAGATATGTGCTGAATCTGCATCCAATGCCTGTTGGTTGCTATTACCATTGCACTTTCCAAAGTGCATAACTTTATTAAGCCATCTTTTGTCACTTTTTAGTTCGTCATACATCTAGTGCGTGAAAAATGTTGAGGGTACAGCACTTGTATATTACACATCTGAAACTGCTACCTGCGGATTGTCCTGTAACATGCAAATGTTCTAACATTGTAATACTGTTTCTAGGGATTCTGTTGAGCTTATAAAAGTCTATCCAGATGGCTTCAGAGCACTCCCATAGAATTATTTGTGTCTGCACTGACCGTTATCTGTGCATAGTCAGTCAAGACTTCTGTCTCCTGCAGTGTGATCAGATAGCTAGCCTCTCCCACGGCTATCAATCAATGCTGTTGGGAACCAGAACACTGATTTTAATGGGGAACAAGTGCACAGGGTCCCTAGGGGATTCAACAAACTTGGCTCAAGCATAATAAGATCCTTAAATTGCAACTCCAGCCAGAATGTTTTGGTTCGGATTGAAAAGGCTTTAGAACCCGTCAAGTTGCTGTCTTATCAGTCATGAAGGATTTTGTCTTGGTTCCTGTGACAATGATTTTTAATAAGTTTTTTTTTTTTTCCTGTCCTTTCTCCTAAGATAAGCAACTGCAACCATAATTTACATCAAACTGTGCTTTAAATGTTGATTGGTCATAAAACCCATTCCTGTAACAGTAACGCAGCAATGAAACTCCACTCAAATTGATGCACCACAAAGTATTAACCAGAACTGTGCCCACGATGAATTGGAGAAAGGGTATTGGCAAATGGTCTGGAGGTTAGAATACAAGTGGTTGCAACCTGTGCTCCTGACTGGTGTACAGAACTGCAACTAAAGGTGCCCACACACCTTGCGATAATCGTATGATTATCACAAGGTGCCTTGCAATAATCGTACGATTATCGCAAGGTGTGTGGAAGGTGTGCGACCTCTGCTACTGTAAGGTCGCACGACTTTTATCTTAGGAACATGTTTGAAAACCTGCCGAGAATCGTACGATTGTCGGCGGGTGTGGCGTGCTTGTAAGATGCCGCACGGGCCGCTGTGCGCAAGCACACACTGCCCGTTCAGCATTGCGGTCATCGGAACCCACCCCTCAGCGTGGCAGGCTTGCGATCATTGCAAGTACAATCTGCCTGTCCAAGATAGGCGGATCGTACGTTTTTTTAAAATTGCCTTACAACCATCGCAAGACAAGTCTTGCGATGGTTATTAAGGTGTGTGCCCAGCATAAGAAAGGCACTGGTACATGGGTGCCTCTGGCTTTCTCCACTCCCACAGTGCACAAAAAATGTATACAGAGACGCAACTAGCAGATCAATAGTAGTGTGCCATGCAGCCTAGTGGCACCAATTTTTATAATTCTTACAATAATGTGGTGATCGGTAAACCCAAGGCCTACCTACCCGATTAAAGTTACAGAAAGTACATGACTGTAAAGTCATTTTGTTCTCGGTATGTATGGGCAATTTTGCAAGTGAGAATTCATGTGTACAAAGGGGTTGCCTTCCTCCGGAAGGTAACAAAAATGTCTCTGGTTTTTAGTAGTTGGCCTTTTTTTTTTGGTCACTTGTAAACTGACTTTTGTAACTGCTCTTTAACAGCTTAAAAATGAACAGTTCAGCACCACCTCCTGAATGTGGGCAGTATTCCACATCGCAACAGAGGCCCTTCTTTTATGCACAGCCAACAACACAACTACCTTTTCCAAATCCTTGGTACCTTACCCAACTCTACAATCCATACTGCATCCCTGGACCAGGTAAGTTTGCCCTTAAACCAAACACTTGACATAAAGATGTATATGTACAGGAATGGAAAACCAGAAGCCTCAACATGGCTTTTAACCAAAAAGTAATATGTACATACCCTACTGGTCTGTTAGTCTCCTGTGTAACTGATTTTATGGGTCAATAAGTCACAGTTGGAATATGCTTGTGCAAAAAAGTTATGCTGTTGCCCACAGAAGGTTGGGGATATAAACAAGCAAAATATTAAGCCAGCTCCCATTTAACTCTTGTCATGCCTCAGGTTTCAAGTGTCCAGGTGATTGTATGCCTTCATGAGTTCTGCTAGGGGGGGATTAACTATTTTTACTAGCCATTTTTTTTTAAGATTCTCTTAACCTAGGGTATTTTTAGAGCTCCCATTCCTCTAGTGAGTGGAAACTCCCTGTGGGATCCTGAGAACCTCCAGACAATGTGGCAGAGCTTTTTGCCTTTCAAAAGGGGACTTATTGCTCTATGGTCTCTCCCCAATGCAGATGCTCCAATAATTCACATTAACAGGCATGCTACCAAAATGGTTGTTGGTCTCACCTTTTTATTCATTTCATTAATAGATAGATCCTACCTAAATCACAGTTGGACGTTAACTAGACTGACTCTTCACCCTGCATTGGCTGTAACTTTGATTTGTAAAACTGTCACTGAGTTAATGCTAAAGTGCAGGCAAAAACTTAATTGGGGTATTGGCTAGGCACTAAGATGCCTCTAATCATGTGTGCTGCCCTGGTGGCTGCTGTTTCAGCAGTAAAAATGACTTGGTTTTGGACAGCACTTGCAGCAGGTTGAATCTGGTTCTGCTGAACATCAACTGAATGCTGCAGAACCTTTACCTCTGGATGGAGAACACACCCTCCCTGTGCTGGACAGTGCTGAGCATATTTATCAATCAGGCAGCGGGGTGAGTCAATAATGTCAGTGCAGAGCTGTGCTGCAGCTGGGAAAGATCCTATCAGCATATAGCGGGCAATAGCCTTCCATGTGCTGAGTTTTGGGTCACAAGAGGACATCAGGTAATGTCCTCCTGTGACCCTAAATAGAACTGTGGCCAAAAAAGGTTTGGACATAGTTTTTAACATTGTTTTTGTTTACCAATGTAACACCCTCCTGTAGGTGCCAGTAATAACGCAACTGTTTTTAGTATAGTCACTCAGTGCACTCTGACTTTACTGTAAGCACAAATCTTCTCCCTTGAGTAATTCTGATGCTGACTTTACAATATTACCCTGGTTAATTTTTTAATGTGGTCCAGTGAAACTTTTTTTTTTCTCCCCCTTTTAGGTTACCGGGGGGGAAATCCATATGTCCCATATTATTCGGTTCCACTCCATGAGTATCCTGGATTTTATGTTCCCCAGCATCAAATGAATTTAAGAATGAACCGGAGACCTAATTTTAATCCCCATCCACCATCCCCCATGTTTTACCATGCCACGCGATTTAGGCATTATACTAGTCCAGGGAGAAGAACTGAAACGAAAGAAACCCAGACAGACCCAAGGCAGCCTGAAAATGTACCAAAAAAACACCCAGGTACAGAGAAAGAAGACTGTGATAAAGGAAACGCAGTTTCTCATTCATCTGGCATCAGCACAGAGAATGAACCCAACTTGGAAAGTGAAATGTCTCCAGTGACAGCAATGCCAGAAAGAGACTTTCACAAAAATGCCTGCAATGCAGCACAATATCGAAACATGCCTCCAGGAAGCTATGCTTATGAGAAAGAGGAGGTAAGAATAGAGTATGGAAGTGGTTCTCCTGCTGCCATACAGATGTGGAAGTCTTATAAAGAAACTATACCAATATATGATGTGGCAGTAATTAAAGAGATACCAGAAAATGTAGTGCAGCGTGATCTATTTTGTGAGGGTGTATTGTATGGCCCTCATCCTGAAGAAGAGATTGTGGTGCAGAACATATCCTTCACAAACACCGAGGAGCACAAGCAGTTGCCACCTCCCAAACTCTGTCTTGAGGAAGTGCAAGAACTGGAAACACGGACTTCTCTTGTGCAAAACAGAGAACCAAGGCCAGAATCCGCTAAACAAAACCTAAGACCAAAGATTCCACTGGAAGTGGGACCTCAGTCTGTTCCTGCTGAACATGTTGTACGTCCTGTTTATGATGTCCAACAAGCTCCTAATGAAGATTCTGAGGAAAATGAAGATTCCGAGGAAACTGATGCATCTGAAGAAGCAGCAAGTGAAGAGCTTCTAATTGGGCTGGATACAGGTCCAGAGAAAGGGTCTCAAAGGCAGTCTGTATGTAATGGAGAGTTAAAGGTGGCAAATGCAAGTGTATGGGTGGAGGACTCTGTACAGAAGTTTATCCCTTCACCATCATGGGTGGCTTGGATTGAAAATCAAGAAACAAATTATGACTATGATGTGTATATGTCGCAGAGGAAGCAAAAGCGCCCAAGTATATTAAGCATTACATCTGAGGAACTCTCATCCAGGGATGAGGGCTCATCCTTAGATAATGCTTCAGTTTCTTATTTTGTACCAGATTATTTGCTTCGAAAAGGCTTGTATGCTTTCCGAAGAAGTGCAGAGAGCTCAGAAAAGGAGAAAATTCAAAGTGGTGGCTCTCTAAAAGAGGATGCCATACCAGTGAAGCACGTTAGCAGCAGATATGAAAAACGCTGTGGCTCATCTATTGGACGAAATGTTAAAGATGTTTCCAGTAGAAGCCGCAAGATTGGTGTACCCATTAGAGGCCTAAACAAGAGGAAACTCTTCTCGGTAAAGAAGAAACCAAGAAAGAGTCAATCTTTGTCTGAACCTGAAGATTCTGAAGAATATTGGGTATTGGAGGAAGAAAACTTGCACAACTTTGAGGGAGATGAGACTGATGAAGAATATTATTTTGAGGAAGACCTACCACGAGAGCAGCTGGACTTTGGTAAAACTAACTTCTTTAAGCAGATCGCTCAGCAAAGGATTTTGTGGAAACCTTCAAAAGGAGACTTTCCGGCCCATCTTATTGGGTGGCCTGTCAGAGAAAAGCTTAAAGTAAAGAAAAAGAGTTTACCTGAAGCTCTTGAGCAGGTGCATAGACCTAAAGCATGTGAATATGCAAATTATGAGAAGCCTGAGAGAGATTACAAAGAGGTGACCGAACTGAAGAAAGCTCAGCAGAAAATGGGTGGTAAGTTGGAAGAGTCTTCTTCATATGGTATTAACACTCAAAACTACTAACTTGCACAGTTTGTGGAATGGACCAATCAGAATTATCTTCAAAATCGCATCATTTACAGGAAGTGTTAGTGACTTTGAGTGCCACTACAACTTTTTTCCCTTTAGTGAACTGTTTGACTGTTTAACTGAATATTTGCAAGTTACTGTTCTTTAAAAACTGTTTTGGTAGATATATTGTAGACATGAATGCTAGAAGAAATGTTAGTCTTTCAGTGGCTTTTGTTGTGGCAAACCTTTAGTGCAAAATCTTAGACAAGCTGACAAAACCTGCAAATTGTTACTCAGTATCTTCTATCTGCTTCAATTAGGAAAACCCCAGAAGAAAGCCTCTGGGGCAACTGTTGAAGAGTACTGGGTTGGAAGAGGTGCTAAGCCCAAGTTCGCAGAACCTGCATATTATCTGCAAGATACAGCCAAAATCAAAGAGCAAGGTATTCTGTTTGTTTTTTTTTTTAGGGGTATTTGAAACCACCACTTAGTTCCCAGCTAGGGGCTGAAAGGGAATACATAGTACGTCCCAGGTATAACTGAGCATGTGACTCGCTCTATGTGATGGCGTGGGGCCATTTAATGCCATCACGTGGATACTCTAACACTAAAGCCTTGTGTAAGCTGCAACATTGGTCTTCATTTCCTAATGTAGTGGTAGGGAGGCAAAGTATACATTATTATGGGTGTCTGCATTGAGGGACTGTTGCTTTGTACTGGTTCATTTTAAAACCTAAATGTTTATGTGGGGTTTTCCCATTGTAGATAAGCCTCCAAAAAAGAAGGGAACGCGCAAGTCTTCTAAAAGAAAACAAACTAGAACTGATACAGAAGAAATAGATACATGGGAAATCCCCAGATCCTTCTTGTATAGAGGTATGTTGGTGCTTTATAGAATTGTGACTTCAGTCTCGTCAAGACATTCCCAATCTTGTCTACCATGTTCAGGCACACTAACACAATGAGATGTCATTATAAATGTTTTCACACAATGTTCATGCAGGATTCACACATTTTCCCAATTAGAAAAATGTGTGAAATTGTGTAGAAACATCTTTAAACCCCCCCCTAGGTTTTTTTTGAGGGAAGTCCATGCAAACCAAGAGAACCTACCATCCATAATTTGTGTACATATGCATATAGGGTTTAGATCCATAGCAGTTACCGTGAGGTGTACCAAACTGACCACCAGCTTCTTGACTTAAGCACACTGTATGCATGTCCTTATTTATTTTGCAGTAGTTTTTGCTTTCTGCCACTGTTGTAAGGCAAACATCTCTCCCCATTCCTTCAATTACATTTTTTTTTTTAAACGGAAAACACCAGTCAGAAAAACTCAACAGAGCGTGATTGGGAAATGGGAGGTGGCTTGTAGCAATACTACAGAGATTTAATTTGCAAATAGCCCTTCCCTTAGAATACTTAACCCTCAATCAGTATTCCTGACCCCCCCCCCCCCCCCCCCCCC